TCTGAAAAAGCCCAAACTTGATCCGGATGTTTTAGCCAACTATAGACCTATATCTAACCTTCCATTTCTCTCTAAGGTCCTGGAGAAAGTAGTTGCTAAACAGCTGTGTGACTTTCTACAGAGCAATAGTTTATTTGAGGATTTTCAGTCAGGATTTAGAGTTCATCATAGCACAGAGACAGCACTGGTGAAAATTACTAATGACCTCCTCACTGCATCAGACAAAGGACTTGTCTCTGACTGGTTTTATTAGATCTTAGTGATGCACTTGATACCATTGACCGGCTGACGGTGAGTGTCCTGGTTTTTTCTCCTTTTTATCAGTTATTCCGCTTTTTCCTTGGTTTTCTGTTCCCTGCCTGCCTCCCTGTGTTTTCTCCCCTGTGTGCTCTCTCTCTCCCTCTGCTCCTGAGCCCAGCCAACTACCTGCACCTGCATCTCATCAGCCACCTCGTCAGCCTGCCACACCTGCCAGTAATCACCTCATGCCTGCCTGTATTTCAACCCCGGTTCTCCACACCATCCTCGCTTGATCGTTGTTGCTCCATATCCGGTGCCACATCCACGTTTAGGCTCTCATGTTTCTTGTTTTATTCTCACATTTATTAGCACATTGTGCTTTGTCTCTGTTATCTCTAACCCTGTCTCTCTGTCTGTTTCCCTCCCAGGTACACTCACCCTCGTCCTCCGTTCAGTCGGCTGGGCTCATCCACCGGCCCTCTCCTCCTCGGACTTCCCCCACAGCGTCCTCCCTGTTCTCTCCTCGCTACCTCGGCCCCAGTGTTCCCCAGCTCCCTGACCCCCAGGCTCCTTGGTTCCCCGTGCCTGTGTTCCCCCTTCCACCTGCTGCCCCCGTGTTCTTGCTTGACACCCTCTGCTACAACAACTATTGTTACTAGTCCTATTGTTATTATAATCATTAACATTACGATTGTTATCATTAACACTACTATACATATCTATACCATTTTTCATTTAGTCTATAGCAACATCACCTTTACTGTGTGTGTGTGTGTGTGTGTGTGTGTGTGTATATTGTGTAGGCTGCCTCTCTCTCTCCCTCCTTCACCCCCAACCGGTCGAGGCAGATGGCCGCCCACCCTGAGCCATGGATCTGCTCAGGTTTCTGCCTCTTAAAAGCAAGTTTTTCCTTGCCTCTGTCGCCTAGTTCTTGCTCTTGGTGGGAATTGTTGGGCTTCTGTAAATAACTTCATAGAGTATGGTCTAGACCTGCTCTTTTATGAAAAGCGCTGTGAGATAACTGTGATTTGGCGCTATATAAATAAAATTGAATTGAACTTTGGTGATCCCCTGAGTATTTCTCTACCCCAATCATGAGGTTGACATTTATGATCATGAGTGAAATGTCTCAAAAACAGTTTAAAGGATTGCCATGAAATTTGGTACAAACTTGTCAGGGCGGATTGCAGTAACTTTGGCAATCCCTTAACTTCATCACAGGTCAAAATTTGACTTTGTCCAATACTCCCTTATGACTAGATACGTATAAAACTAATGAAATTTCCATTGACCTCAGCTGCTGCACTTTGTTTTGTGCTAATTAGCAATTAACTACAGGTAGCATGCTAACACGTTAAACTAAAATGGTAAACATAGTAAACATTGCCTGCTAAACATCAGCATGTTAACATTGTCACTGTTCACATGTTTGTATGTTGACATCAGCATTTAGCTAAGTAAAGGCTCCCTTGCAGCTAGCATGTCTGTTGTTACCAAAAGCCAAAATCAGTATAACCTTTTAAATTCTCAAAAGGCTGCATTTAATGCTTCATATGCAATGTACTTGTGTGATGAAAACCAATCACCAGCTATTCTGTATCATTCTGGATATTCTGTATCATAAAAGCTTATGGATATTAAAGTAAAGGTGCAATTTAATCTGCCTTACTAAACAAATTCCTGCCTAACTGACTCACTTTCTCTTCCCTGCACCGCCACAGCAATACCATCTCTCATCCTCTGTGGTGTCTGAGAAATGTAACCCATGCCTTGCAAACTGTGCACATCGAGGATGCACTGTGGGAAAAAAAAAATCAACTCAATTTCCTCCGAAAGTCTCATTCTTTCTACCTGCCACCCGTTTCCCATCTCCTCCCTTTTCTATTTTTTGCTCTCTCCCAGCAAGTGTACGGAGATTGCTGATTTATGGAGAGGCCCAGTTGCTGGTGGCCGGAATCCAGCCCGAATAAGTGATTTGTTCAAAGATTACAGACACAGAAGACAGGGAAAGAAGCATTAATGATGTTATGGACAGATCACCAGGTGTGTGTGTGTGTGTGTGTGTGTGAGAGAGAGAGAAAGAGACAGACAGAGAGAGAGACAGAAAGAAAGAAAGATAAAAGAAAGAAAGAAAGAAACAGAGATTGTCTCTGCTTTACTTCACAGAACTATATGCATTTCTCAGCAGTACAGAGACAGTCCATCATTAATGACACTCTGGCGTTAACATTAAATGCTTTCTGAGAAGTATTTCATTCTTAAGCACTCGCTTCTTTAAAAAACATCATGTTTCATGTGTCCAAAATAGAGCTTTGCAGGTTTATGATGACTCATACTTGTAACAGTGACCCACAGTGGGCCTTATTTGCATTTCACTCAACAAAGCCCTTCATCTGTTATGTAGAAGAAACCTATAAATAAAATAATTGTCTCATGGTAGTCAAGGAATTAACATTAACATCTAATTGGATGTTTATTTTATCACTTTAGAAACTAACCAAGGACACTGTGGAGAGGGCATCTTCAGTCTCCTCCACCCAGACCTCTAGCCATATGTGGCCTGGTTTGAGCAGCGGTGTTGACTCCTGCTCTACTTAATTACGTGTGTGATGGAGTGGTTCCCCCTACAGCAGAGCCACTGTGTCACACTGTGTCAGGGGCGGTGCGGACACACGGAGCTGACCAGTCTCACCTGCCTCACCTCTCTCTCTCTCTCGTCAGATCAGAATAATAAAAAAATAACAACAGCCAGAGAACAATTTCCTTGTGGTCAAGTGAATCTTTCATCATCTATTTCTGCTTTTCCATCTTTTTTGCCACTTACTGCAGCTTTCAATTTATTTTGGTGATGGTGCCACTTGGTATCAAAAGGGACGCATCATTGACTGTCCCGGGCTTCATTAGCAAGTCTCCCGGTTGTCTATTGGGAGTGCACAGAGTACAGAGCACATAAGCCTGGGTGGAGAATAAAGTGAAAGGCACTGAGAGTCCAAACTGTACCCGCAGAGACTATGCCAGACCACATTAACTGTTGCTGTAGCAACCATCTCCAAATCAGAAGAGAAAACTCGAACACTTTATGCAGAATAATATCTCAAAATGTCCTCATTCACTGTGTCTCTTTCTCCTTGTCTACCTCTAAAGATGATGTAAAATACTCTTGAACACTGAATTCATGGAAACCAAAGTGGTATAAGTGTGGCCACTCAGCAGTTAATGAAACAGAACTAAAAGGGAGAGACACAAGTTCTGAGATTTGGCTTGCTTTCAGCTATATCTTCATTCAAATTCAATACTCAATACTAAAAAGGCTATGACTACCAGTGACAGTGGGAGCTGAACTCCAGCCTCACTTGCAGAGTTGCACAAATTAAAACATTTTAGGAGGCTTGTTTTCATGACTACAGACTGAGAAGAGAAGAGGAAACAACGATAACACATACCTCTACTTCCTAACTTGATTTGTTTTCTCTAGATAAGGGTATCCTGAAGAACAGTTACCTGTGTACCATAAGAGGGTACAATAAACAGCATATTTTATTTCACAGTTATGAACATAACTCTTGAGCATTTACATATAGTCCTTAAGTCTCAAGCATGAACACTTTTAATCAGCCATGCTAATATATTCATAAATGATGAGGCAAACCGCTGTCTGAACAGAGGCTCTCAGTGTGTGTCTGAGGTGATGTCTGGGGGTCTGCTCAGGTGAACAGGCAGAGACACTTATCACCCACAGCAGAAACAGTCTTATGCATGCCCAGAATTCTCAATGACATTAGACTGATGTGCAGTTTGAACAAGAGAAAAGTGCTGCTTTTAGACGGGAATGCAAAGTGAAAATATATTATTAAGTGTAGAGTTTGTATGTTTTTTGCGTTCTGCAGTGGATGCTATGGAATAACGCATCAGATATTTTTCCCTCAAGACATTTTCAACTTGCTTTGGTTTCATTTATAGCTGTTATTATTGTCATTACATCTCCATGTACAGCTAACCATGGTTACTCATTTTGTAATGAAGCCGTTTGCTCATTCTTTGTGCTGTGAACTCATCGATGTTGACTGGGTTTCATTCTATTAAGAAACCTGTCAGTAAGAGTTACACAGTTAAATGGTCCATATCATCCACCAGTTGCCACACATCCGCCACAAGAATAACTGACCTACGACACAACCAGACACAGACAGGGAAGTGAAAAATTCTGACATGTAATCAGACACAGGTGTAGCAAGAAGCAATGTATTCCACGCACAGTTAATTTCACTGAAATGTATTGTATAATGCACTGTCTGGGCTCAGCTGAAAGATCTTTCCCTCTCACACCTTTAATTAGATCCTTCACATTATCAGTCTGACTTTTGTCCCTTTGGATTTGTGGATTTAGCACTGCTACTGTTGCAACTTGCCAGCATTATTTAAATCAACCTCCTGTATCTCCTACTTCATAGGTGATGTTGAGCATTGATGAATATCAACTTGGGGACGCTATAGATAGTACCAAAAGCCCTTTTGGACATAACCAAGCACCACATGTCTTTGTAAACCAGCTCTCTTTGATTTGGAACTCACTCTCTCAACTTATGCCTGTTTTGTTTGTGCAAACATTATTACCTTGTATGTGAATGCTTGTGTCAGGATAGTAAGCTGTGTATTAGCAAACAGAACCCTTTTTAATGGCCTCCTCTTACTTAAAGATGGGCTTTACGTCACTGTGTTTTGCACATTTTCAACCCTGTCTGACGAACACCCTGATAGGCTCAAACAGCAGAGCGGTGACATCCTGCCAACAAAGAGCGCTTCATTGCTGTAGTTACTCGTCGATATCCAACTTGACCTGACCTGGTGTAATCCACAAAGTCATTTTTGCTTTGGTCGACAAGGTCTTGGCCGATCACATTCATCTCACTTCGTCCTCTCGAGGGCTCATCCGCTTGCGCTACAGCAGCCACAGCGCGCTGTCCAACCCGGGGCATTAGAAGAAGTGAATGATGCGGTGAGAAAGCATTGTGGGAGGACTCAGTAGATGACAAGCTGTTCCCTGGGAGGCAGAAAGGCGAACAAAATCGCACGGAGAAGCTCACGCACGACCCCACCTACGGAATCCCGACTTGTTTAGCCTGTACCGGGAGCGAAGGAGCACAGTTGCGCAGTCTTTACGCACAACCAAAAAGCGGACCGTGAAGCGTCTGTCTGTCACCACCATGTCAGCGGCAACAGCTTCAATAGCAGATGTGTCCAAGACTGATTTAACAAACAAAGATGACAGCCGTGACCGGAATAAATCAGGTAAGACAGATGAAATCAAACCAAATGGTGTCTAATTTATACACGAGTTGAACGTGTAGGATGTGTGTGTGGGACGGAGACTTGTTTTTGGCACTTTGCACTTATTCCAGTTGTATTCTTCACATGAATGCCGGTATTTGTACGATTTTAAATAGATATTGTGTGTGTGTGTGTGTGTGGAGGGAGGGAGGGAGGGGGGTCATCTACAAGTTGTGCGTTTTATTCGAACATTGATCCCTAAAAAAGAGAGATTTAATGTGTGTGTGTGTGTGTGTGTGTGTGTGTGTGTGTGTGTGTGTGTGTTCTCGCGCGCACGTGCCTGTTGTCTAAATGCTAGACCTATATTTCCTCGTGCAATATCCCTTTAGGGACTTGCAGTAATTGCTGTGATAGCAGTATCCTAACAATTGTTCTAGGATAGTCTAGGTAGGCTGAAAAATGCGTTTGCTCATTGTCTTTTTTTCGATGGGCATGTGATCATTTCTAAGAAATAGAATTCACATTAAGAATACACTTTTCATCACACACTAAGTGTCATCGGGGGTGACTGAATTAACTTCAGGCGCACCTGTCTTCCAGATCTCATAATTAATATATTTTAAAGAAAAACAAATAATGAGGAAGTGAAAAAAGGGCGGCAACACCGGTGGCTTTAACAAACTTCCGACGAACAGTGGGGTGTCTCACACGCAAGCTCCCATAGCCACACACACACACACACACACACACACACATTACATAAAAGTGATGCTCTCTACTTATCGGCAATGAAGTGCGTCCTTGTGTTACATAAACTTGAATATGGTGGTACTGACTAATGGTAATAGCTTTCAGGGGACTTTTTATCCCAGTTAAGTCTGGCCCAGTGCCATTGTAAAATGTGATCAGAAGCTTGTGTGGTTCTTTAAAAAGAAAATGCGCATATTTTTCACCTAACCTCGTTTCTTTCGATTTATTTTATTAATGAAACCACGAACACTTTTTGTGTGAAGCCCCTTGTGGTGATAAATGTGCACCACATGTTTTTAACAAGAAGTGCACAGCTCCTCTCACATTCTTGGATAGTTTCCTTCATTTAACAGTTACAAAGAGGAACATTGCCCAGTCCCCCCTATGTCTGGAGTCCATTGTTTTAGTAAAAACCAGATAGCAGGTTTCCCAAAGTAAACAGTCTGGTTGTGACTTTTCCTGGGCCTGATCACAGTTATCATTCCCAATTCTGTTGGAAACCACTTAATTGATGTCACTGTGTCTATTTGCATTCCAACAGCTTGTGTCATGATGAAGTGATAACCTTAAGTTGAAGGTAGGTCGTGCCAGACTGCTGGTGTACTGAGCTGACACAGTGAGAGACCTCGCCTCCTGTAATATGCTGAGCACTGTGCTGTATGATAACCACTTTTACCGTGGCTCCAGATGGTCTGTGTGTTTCCACCAGCCTTGCAGGCCTTTTGTTTAATGATTTATCACATTTCCTGCTTCGATACTGTTAGAATTCAATGCAGCGCAGCACCAGGCTGTTACGGGGGGAGCAGCATTTTGTCACGCAGCGTAGTGCAGCCCTACAGGGGTTCAGCGCTGATAGCTGTGGAACGACTGTCCCATTCCACACTGAATCTCATCTGCAGTGCTCCATTCTTCTTTGTTGTTCACAGTGTTCACGCTGAATTGTTGTTGCACTTCATTTGAATTCTGAGTTGTCTGATCATCCCTGTGAAAACACATTTCTTTTGAAGATGCATGAATTATACATATATTGAAACTATGGGTGACCTTTTGGTGATTCATCGACATCTAACATCTGCAGCATAATTAAATAACAACCACTGTTTTTGATGCACACGATCATCCTCTTTCAGGTCAGTCCCAGGCTCAGTGCACACCCATGCCCCTGCCAGCCCTGGGCACCCAGAGGATCATACAGGGCAACGGTACCAATGTGGGCACAGTCATTTCCCTGCAGTGCCCAGCCAGACACAAACTGATAGGAAGTGAGCTGATGTGTGTCATGGGCACCAACAGCACCCACTGGGTGGGGGAGACCTACTGTAAACGTAAGTAGTGACTGAGGCCAAGGCATGACAGTTAATATAGAAAGAATGGCACTCATAGGAGTTGCCTGCTTGAAGCCAGGTTACTGTATGAAAAGTGTTCATACACATGGTAATGTGCCAAAATGTGTTTGTGTGTAGATGAAATGCTTTTACTGGGAGAATTGCAGCCACTGCAAAATTGAACTGTCTGTCAGCTCATTATTCTGAAGAGATGGAATATATATTAAACATTATGTGATAGGCATTGTGGCTATGGGCAATGTTACTGGAAGACACTTAAGGTTTTATTTGGCTTGGAATAATTAATACTCTAAATTACGTGAGAACTCATTCGAGAAAAAATTATTTGTTGCTTGGGGATGAAGCACATTTAAGGGGAATATTAATGCTAAGGTAGAGAGAACTAATTTCAAGCACTTGCACAGTTTTTTTTTTTTTTTTAGGTAAGTGAGTGGAAGAAATTAGAGCACGATCTTAATTGTGTTTCAGGATCAATCATCATGGGAGAGATGAAGCTGCCTGATGTGAAACTGTGTTTTATTATCCTTTCCATGATGAGCTGGCTTGTGAACTTTGTTGCAAAATGACTATATTTCTGCCCTTCTCCTCTGGTTAAATGACAAAGAGAAACTTTTGATGTAGCAGTCTATGTGGCAGACTCCATCTGTAAAGTCTAAGGTGACAAGTGTTTTGTGTGGTACCTGAGTCTGATTAGGAATTGTTCTGTAGATTTTTCAGCATGATCGATGGAGTTGTCTAATACTTTGAGTGCATGACATGGATATTTAGTCAGTCAGCAGGCTTCTTCTCTCACACTCCAGCTATGTCTTCCTATGAGAACTACGGTTTCCGTGTCGCTGTGCTGGCATCCATTGTAAGCTCAGCCATTATCTTCTTGATGTCCATGGCATTCATCACCTGCTGTTTGGTCGACTGCATCAAAGAGGACAAAAAGAAAAAGCAGGAGCGGTGAGTGAGAAGCAAACTTACTTAAAAGTACCAATACCCAGATTGATAGAGCACATGAATTAAGGAAGAGTCTTTACACAAGGGCCAGGGTTCAAGTCCACCCCAGGCATGTCATCCCCTCTCTCTCTCTCCCTGCCTTTCCTATCTCTCTTCACTGTCAATAAAGCAGAAATGATCCCTCAAAAAAGTACCAATACCACAATGTAAAAGTGCTCTGTTAAAAGTAAAAGTCCCGTATTTAAAATCCTATGGTGCCATGTGGAGTTTTATTGTAAACAAACAAAAGTGAAGTTGGCAGTCAGTGTCACTCACCAAAATGCATTGTGTCTCTCCTTGAGTTCTATTAAATGTGTTCACATTCCTCATAAAACAAGCTGCAAAAACTACAACATTCCCCGCTGAAATAGAGTGAAATAGAAGTTACATAAAATGGAAATACTCAAGTCAAGTAAATGTACATAAAATTTGTACTTACAGTAAGTACAGTGCTGAATGTATTTAGTGACTTTTCATCATTGGAAGAAAAGCATGTAGAAAAAAAAGAAGAGGCATGGCGATGGCACAGTAGATAAGACACATGCCCTGGGTGTGGAAGACCCAGGTTCGATTTACACTGCAACGCATCCACCAATGTGTCCCTAAACAAGACCCTTAACCCCTAGTTGCCTCATAGGCGTGCAACCTTTGACATATATAGCAGTTGTAAGTTGCTTTGAATAAAAGAGTCAGCTAATGTGAATTTTCAAATTGAAATACTTTGACATGCAGGTTTAAATGGATTTTTTTTAAAACAGTGAGTCAGATGTGTGGCAGTGGGAGGAGCAGGCCCAACATCACCAGGACAACAGATCTCACTATAACCATATCGGCAGGAACAATAACAACAACAACACCCAGGAGAAGGTGCTTTCACTGTGGGACACCGGCTACCCAGCCATGTGTGACAACATGCGAGCCTGCAGGTAAAACGTGGGCTGACTTTTGCTTAAACGACCAGAAAGGGAAAAAAGTTCCAAATATCACTGAAGACATGCAGACCAGCAGAAACATTAAAGAACATCCTGTGTTTTCCTCCACAGATGTCATCAGCAGTACGCATATGCTCCTGCCTGCACATATGGCCCCACTCCTGCGCTTTCTGCTCTCCCCGGCCGTGACTACAACCAGCCTCTCTTACCCCGAAACCCAGAATCCTCACACATCGCTGGTCCACCACCTCAGTACTTCGGACCTCCTCACTCCTCCTGTCGAAGTGCGAGCCCAGGCCTGGTCCAGATCTCAGCAGTAGGGCCTGATTTGGTGTGGCAGTATGGAGAACAGCAGAGCAGTTTGTCAGAAGTAAACCCATCAACCACAGATGAGTCCAACATGAGAAATATAAACCCTGCCAAAGAATTTTCGATACGGATTATATCAGTGTGAGGACACCATCAGTCAAGAACTTGTTCAATGACCAAATATGACATATGACATAACAGTGTCAGCTGTATCGGACTATGGGAAGTAATAACTGAACATTCCTGGTCATGATGAAATGATTATGTCTGAAGTTCTAGACAATATGAGGGCTCTATATGCATACTGATCTGACAGACTTATGTGCCTTTTGTTAACTTCAATGGCACACTGCCCTCTGTCTGAAAAGGGGAGCCATTGCACTTTCAAGACACCAGCCTTGTTGGAGACACTCCCTTGTAATTAGAAGGTCAAGGCACTTCTATGCCCTTAATTGAGCTTTTCAGAAACCAATTAAACTGTTATGTTGTGACTTAACAATTAAGGTGTTTACTGACATAGTTCATAACACATTGTAGGCAGCTGAGGGTCTGCGAAGCTCATCTCTGGGCAGGAGTGTCCAGTTTGTTGGATGAGGAGAGCAGCCTGAAGCGAGTATGTAAATATAATTTTTAAAGAATGTAAATAAATTAAACACTTCTACTGATAACGAGTGAGATTGTATTGCAATGGAAGGAGCTGATGTACAGTTCCCTCTGAGGGACAAATGCAAATGCAGGCCAACATGATAAGGCAGCAAAAGCCTACATTGATTTTGACAGTATGTGTAATAATGTAGCCTACACACAGGAATGTCAAGTGAAATGGTAAAGAATGTATTACTGGCAGGGGAAAAAAGCAACAAATTATTATTATTAACATTGCCAGGTATAATTGACCCAGTGCATCGTTAGTATAAATTGATGTAGGGAATGAAATAAAGTGATAAATGACACCTCTGTGGTTCAGTTTTTGCAATAGAAAGCTCTGCCTCTTCTCCTGGTAATCTGCCTGTCAGGTCAGTCTGCGGACTGATAATCATCATGTGACCCTGAAGTCGGTCATGTGGCCCCGGACGGTCGCAGGGAGGCGCAGCGCGCCGCGGGTGGACAGTAGAGACCATCAAACCAGGGAGAGCAGGAAGTTTTACCGGGAGACTGTCGGTCGGAAAGAGCACGTCCCACCCGCCGTTTGTTTGTTAGTATGACAGGTTTGTGAATCAAGGGTAAGATGTTTTGTCTTGCTTTGGATAGTTTACATCATTAATCCCTGCGCGCTGACTTATAGGATGCAGAGGATCGCTGACCGCCCACTGTGCTGCGTGGGTGCGCCACCTGTTGCATACAATAACAGTTTTAAGTTTAGTCGTTGCATAAAGCACGAGCAGTTAGAAAGACGGGTATATGTATTAAAACGCTACATTATTTAATAACCTACGTTATGGTTTGACGTTCTCGCCAGAGCCGTCCAGACTTTTAAAAATTAAATATGGATGATGAAGCTCCTCCTTCTGCCAGTCACATACAAATCTGTGGGTAAGAGTCCCATTTAAATAAAATGTTTGTAAAGAACTCAGTCATTGGGGTGAGGTTATTTTATTTTATCCCGCTGAAAGTAGGCTACTTTTTTACATAATGTGCATTTCAGGGTAAACTTAACAAATGAAGTTTTCTTACCCACAACTATACAATTTAGAGATTCAGTTAATAAAAATTTTACACTAGACAAACTAGTAGTAGACAACTGTTACTTACCTATGCAATTTTACCTGGTGCTTAAATAACTTAGTTGGCAAAGGACTTGCCTATTTTCTGCACTTCTACAGACTGTTAATAGCAACATGTGTAATGTGGCAGAAGAGACTTTTTCAAAAATCATGATAACACATGTCAAACCCACAACTGCACAGGAAAGTTCAACAGTTGTCACATTTAAAACCCTCGCCATGACTTACTGAAGGACACTTAACAGGAAAAATGGCCTCTAAACACCGCATTAAGCATCAGAAGTGAGCTGGAAAAACATCAACAGGAAGTTGGGAAATTTGGGACTTTGTGCTGCTAATAGGCAGTATAACAAAGTATACTTCTTTTAATACAGCCTCACAAATGACCATTGAGTTGAATCAGCAGCTTTTAAGAACAAGGGCTTCACCAAACTGGTATTTTCTACAAGCCTCACAGGCTTTGTATCGCAACGTCTTACCGTCATTTTGTGCCCGCCTTAACTCAGTAGACATGTTACTCATCAAGTATTAGCATTAAACTATTCAAGTAAAGTGTGGCCAAAGTGACAGTTTTGTGGTAAGTGTGTTAACCTTTCTAAACGGGAGAATAAACCTCTTAGTCATTTATTTTCAGAACAGGATTGATGCCAAGACCAGCTTAAGAAACTACTTAAGACTAGACATAAAATCTGCAGGCCTTCAATTAGAGCTTTGTAGCATGCTCTAATTGTATAGTATCATAACCTGAATCTGAAGAATATGAATTTAAGAATTAAAGTGTGTATGCAGTGTAGAGTGCATTTTATTCAACACATTTCTCTTGTTCTTGGCTAGACATTGATGATTACCATGTGCAGCTCCGGGGGGACGCCCATTTCCTGTGCTCAGATCAGAGGATGGACACTGAACTGGTTGACAGACTGGTGCTACAGCTGAACAGGATCCACCCACAGATACTCAGTGACAAGGAAGCCCACAGAGTAATTACAGATAATATGACACAATTCCAAAAAAATCCTGTTTTGACAGTTCTTACATTTCTGCAACTGAATTTAGTCTTAGAAAAGAAGCACAGTGTGCAGGTATACAGGTATGTGCAGTGATTCAATTCAGCATGTGTCTCACTGCAGTTCAGGAACCTCAGCGTACCCACCAAGGTGCGGTTAGCTGAGCTGTTGAAGCACCTGCATTGGAAGGGTGATGAGGCATGTCATGAATTCTACAGGGGACTTCACATCCACGCTGAGGACGTCTACTCCAGCCTGCCCACCAGAGTCACACAAAGAGGTAAAAACACTGAGCAGGGCAGCTCAGACATTTTAGTGGCTGAAGATTGCCACGTAGAACTGCAGACAGGTGAGAATCCTCTGGTCCCAGTATAGTTGGGAGATCAAATTAAACGTACAGTAGAGTCAGCGCAGGTTTTATATATAGCACAAACAAGTCAAAAACCTTGAAAAAAATCAATATCAATATCCAGAAATGACAAAATGTGTGTATCTGGTATAGTCATGTGCCAGTGTTTAAACATATCATTATTAGTTTTCTAAAATTCCTGTGCATAATTATTCAAGTTAATTACACTGATTCATTATCAGGTGGTGTTAACCTAAAAAGCTTCTCCCTGCTGACTCTTTTTTAACAAAGTTAGGTTGTCCAGTATATCCAATATGTCTTAAGTGAGATGGTTAGATTGGTAGAGGTGGTAAATATAGTGTACCATCGTGGTGGATCCCCTGCTGTGCAATTGCCCTGTCTGGCCTTATGTGGACTTATCCTGTTTAAGATACAGAGAGAAGCCAACGTTCTGCCTGCACTGAAGTTCAAGTAGTGGATCTTACAAGTGTGGGGTTAACCAGTTTTACTCTCTGTTCTAGAGGTGACAAATCCAAAATGGACATACAATGTGGCAATCTACCCAGAGCAATATGTGCTCAATAACAGAGGTAAATATAACCAACATGAAACACTACTGCTTAGTGCATTATATATAATTTCTGTTCATTTATATTATTAAGTTAAATTGCAATTCACTATCTAAGTGTTAGTGTAACATCAACGACCACACTAATGTTTCTGTAAGTTGCAAGCATGTATACCTGAAAGTACTGCAAACAACTATTCAAAGTCTGTCATAGGTTTTTAGATTTTTATTTTAGAACAATATGGAAATTACCTTGCAGAAAATTTATGTTTTCATCATGAGGTAGAGGTAGAGTTGCGAGCAAGAACTGATATGAAAACACTTCCTATGTAGTGCATTCAAAAAAATTTTGACATTTGATGATTGTATCCAAAACCAAAGCTACAACATGTATATTTGATCTGATTCCATAACAGCAGAGCTCACACGTGCATAACCCTATAGTATAACAGCCATCTCTCAAACCTGAATGTCCATGCTTAAAACTACATTCAAGTGTGATGATAACATTACTTTTGTAGAGTTTAGTGTTTGTATGAGGTGGTAGAGGCTTTAATTATGACATGTATATTAATGTTTAAAGTAACCATTAACAGACAGTAAACCTACCCTTATGTACACATAGCCCTTGGTGATATGATCTGTTCTGTTACTTTATATTATTTATTTTGTTGTTTTTGAAGTGCTTTTCATGTTCAAAAGGCAATACAAATACATTGTGATGGATTATTGGTTTAAAATAAGGTGTCTAGTCTGCAAAATGACTTTTAATCCTAACTTGGCATGAACTGAAAGCAGTGGCTGCCCGGAAAGTAGGAAGTCATTCTCAAAACCAATGTTAAACTTTGAGAAAGGATGGGCAGTAGTGTAATTTAATGATAATAAAACATAATTTTAATCTGCAGTTGTAGAAGTTTAATTTGGCAAAAGACTGCTAGGGTGTTTATATAAAATATGGTGGTCTTACGGTTTGTGTATGTGTCAGGGTGCCTCTGTACCCCCCACTGATTCTCAGATAAGCCCCTTAAGCCCAACTAAGCTTTGTTCTTCAGCAAATGCAGTTGTCTGCTGAACCTTTTAACCCCTAGCGTCAGAATGTGGGCCCCACTGCTCTGCACTGCTTCTCCATTCATCATCCTGTTGCATCCAGGGCTCTGGCTTTTGTGGGTCAGTTAAGCTCACGTGTAAACCCCCTGTCCAAAACTGCTTCCTCTGTCCTGCATTCCTTTCAGGGGCATATCCACTGTGTCAGAGGTGTTTAAGCAGGGAAATGGGTCATCAGTGATGTAGTGAAACACTGACTCCCAATCATAAGTCATACTAAGAAACAATGGCTTGTTTAGACTGTGAACAAGAAGATAATTGTCTTTTCACAGAGCAGCTTTGGACATTGGACTCTTTGGCCTCACCATATACTAGAGTACATTTCTGTTGTTCTTTGTTATTTAGTTCTTATCATTTATAAGGAACACACCAACCCACTATCCACATTTAGTATGCCCATCTGCTTATCACACATTCCTATTGTTTATAGGTGTTACTGGTCGATAGTCACTGATGAGAACTTTCTCTTCCCTTCTGCAGGACCAATGTTCTTCCTGAGCTGTTTCAGTTTTGTAGTTGGTATTGCAATGCTCTACTATTACAGAGGTGAGTCATACAGAATGATGGAGAAGTGTGCAGACTTATTTGTTCTTGAGCATTTGAAATTACTTTGGAAGCATCCAATTTTTCTTCGGATTTTTTAAAAACTCATTGTTGCCACTATTTCTCCCCACAGAGGGTGAGACGTTGAGATGTACTGGTCCGTTCCTTCACTGCTCTGCAGCAAGACTTAGTAAAGGTGCTAAAGATGTTTTAATTTCCTGTGCTGAGGTTGGAAAGAAGAAATGAGGATGTTAAGGTGCTGAAACGCTTAAGAACGACCCCTGTGAAAAGAACAAGCCATGCAATTTGCCACTTTGCTGTGCCAAACTTGAAATACACTTTGAGAGCTATAAACTTTTTTTTTCTAAAATTACACAGAGTTGTTGGCACTAATTGACTCCTCTTAAATCCCTGAGAAGTGACATTGACACGACTCATTCTGTCATAAAGTCCCACTGTTAACTTTTCTTTATATGAAAAAGATTTGTAATGAGGGATTTATTGTGTGTGCAGAACATCTAATTCCAATGACATTTTCAGGTAAAATGGAGCATAATACTAACTGAATAACTGTGCTCACACTCACACACACACACACACACACACACACACACAAACTCACACACACATACACACACAGGTGTTTTCAATCACGCTGTCCCGAGAGGAGGCGACATGAGTGTTACTTTAACAATGTTCAAATTTTGTACAAATAAAGCACACCACATTTTGACATCACCTGGAGTTGTATCTTATTTTCAATCTAGTAGGACAAAGATATACATAGAAATGCATACAGTTAATTAGCATCAAATACTGTGTGGTATTGCAGTCTAATAGTAACATTGACAGTGATGAGCAGGACCATGATTAGATTTTTAAGGTTTGTGTCTGGCACTGTTTTGTCTGCAGTGAACTTTACATAGAGATGGTAAATCGTTTATCTGAACAGCATCAAAAAATACACTAGAGGGCACTGCTCCCTCATCCAGTGCACCAAAGTGGGAAATAAGGATGATGGAAAATGTTGTGGTGTGCTATAACAATGACAACTGAGGGCAACAGACAGCCTGCATTAATGAATGACAATCAAACTGAGTCCATCAAGTGAATGAATTAAGTTAATTAAATGCTACATTAAACGCTGTTGACTGCTCAAGACAGACTTGTATTCAGGGTGGATGCATGCCATAGTCATTTCAAGTGTTTCTCCATTTATCATATAATATGATACTGATTCATAATTGTAATAATGAATGTGTAGAAAAATATACATCCAAGATAGTATATACAGTACAACTCTGGTGGAGAGATTAGGGTGTTTGATCTCAGGAGATTTGCGACACTTTTCCTCCTCTTCCTTGCCTGCGAAGAGAGCAACAGATGAGAGAGGAGTCAGAGAGAGAGGGGGGTGGGGGCGCTAAAAGGGGTTGAAAGTGTCACCAGGTTTGATTGTCCAGTTTGAATTCTGGCATCCACAGTCCCACGAGAGAGCTATTTATAGTCTTGCTTCACGTGACCTAAAACTCCTCGATGAACATCAGCATCCTCAGATATTAAACTTCACAGTACTCTGTAAAGGTTTTAGGCATGTATGGAAAAAAAGAAAAAAAAGTGAGAATGTTTTTTAAAACATACATGTTTATTTATATTTATAAATTAACAAAATACAAAGTTAAGGTGAAAAGAAGAAAATCAAATCAATGTGACCACCCTTTGTCTTCATAACAGCATCAATTCGTCTAGGTACACTTGCACATCGGCTCAAACATCTTGGGGAACTGCCCACATTTTCCTATGGATTTAGGTAGCTTCAGTTGCTTCTCTCTCTTCATCTAACCCCAGACAAACTCCATGATGTTGAGATCAGGAGCCTGTTGCACCAGCGATACGTAAGTTCTACCTTAAGTTAGGGTGCAAAGTCCACGCTAAACAATACGTTGAAACTAGTTAGTTTGAGACTTAAGCTGTATTGATGTTTGGTTGCACCACCGAGACGTAAAGTGCATCTTAGCTACTCTGGCGTAAAGTCCATACTCATCAAAACAGTGTCGCAGAAAATGACGTTTACACATGCCATGGCCGGTAAAGTATAACGGGCAGATGAAATTGTAACATTATAACTTATATACGCGTAGGAGCCATTATGCCCCTCATATTTCAAAATCCCCACCCCCCACACTTTTCTATGGTGATTTTGGAGTTGGCTAGGCGAGAAGGTTTACTATGAGTGGCTAGTCAATCAATCACTCCACATCAGACATGATTAAACGGTTGAAACGCGGACAAAAATCCTGTAAGTTAATTTGCTCCTCCTGATCCCAGTCACCCCCCCTTTCAAAACGATGCGCCATGACAACCACTTGACTATTTTATGGAGGACTTTACACCTATTAATTATGTCTACGTTGGACGTATTTCAGCTGGTGCAACCCTTAAAATGTTAGTAGCACGTAAACTCCGACTTAAGTTAGAAATTACGTTCAAACTAGGCTAAGTTTGAACTTACACATAGTTGGTGCAACCCAGTGATGGTGTCTACGGTTCTCAACGTTGCACGTTTCGTTGTGCTTCTTCAAAAGAGCTATCTCGACACCACAGTCTGCCTTGAAATTCCTGTCTGGTCAAGACCTTGCTGATGCAGTATGACTACCTTGTGTCTTGTTACTGTGCTCAGTCTTGGCACGGTGTATGACTTTTGACAGTAAACTGTCTTCAGCAACCTCACCTTGTTAGCTGAGTTTGGCTGTTCCTAACCCAGTTGTATTCCCCCTACACTGTTTCTGTCTCAGTTAATGATTGTGTTTCAACCTACATATTGAATTGGTGATCATTAGCACCTGGCGATATGCCAACAAAATCCCCGACTTTGTGCAAGTGTACCTTAAGAAGAATTGCAGCTGTTTTTAAGATAAAGGGTGGTCCCATTAAATATTGATATGATTTAGATTTTTCTAAAGAGGATGTACTTCCTGCGGTAGTTGAAGAAGTTCAGCCTGCCAAAGACAATGATGGTGCACTTCTACACCGCCATCATTGAGTCCATCCTCACTTCCTCCATCCCCATCTGGTACGCTGCTGCCACCGCCAGGGACAAGGGCCAACTGCAGTGTGTCATTCGCTGTGCAGAGAAAGTGATTGGCTGCAATCTTCCATCTCTTCAGGACCTGTACACCTCCTGGACTCTGAGGCGTGCAGGGAAGATTGCAGCGCACCCCTCCCATCCCAGTCACAAACTGTTCCAGTCCCCTCTGGTAGGAGGCTGTGGTCCATCAGGACCTAAACCTCTCGCCACAAAAACAGCTTCGTAGCTAGCCTCATTAACAAGGCCTGGGTCCCTCACTGACACTCCCCCCTTTCCTCTCAAATACTGTATATCTTTGCACATGTAAATATTATTTAATTTCACATCATTGCACAAAGCCGATATATAGCACATATTTGTTGTTTGCTTTTTCTGATTCTAAATCTAATGTTCACTCACTTTGCATTTTATTAATATATAATTATAATCTATTTATGTCCTTTTTAGAAAGCTACTTTGTAGCATTTTTCCACACTTGCCTAAAACCTTTGCACAGTACTGTACATTATGCATATATATCAGTCTACAGATCTGCCCTGAGTGGAGCTGTGTGTGTCATCAATCTGGCTCTACTCTCGCTGTTTCCACGGTTACCAATGATAGTTGTGGAGGAGGAAAAAGGATCAGGTTGTGACGTTGGTTTGTCATCTCAAAGGTGCTTTGTCACAATCATGTTGAAGATACAAACATGAATATTCTCTAGGTATTTAGCAGATGTGAAACAGGCTCAAACTGCTTTTATATTCTTGTGTCAAACCATAAAGTGTTTTAATTGCACATTTGGTTTGACTTTAATTGAGGTTTCGGTGGCAACTGCCGAAACACAGTCTAATTAAGGGTTCCATTTTAACAAGCAGTTCTGCTGGGGTCTGTGCTGTGTTGACTCTGACTCACCAGCTGCTGGTCCAGAGAACCACAGACACTCCGTCTTTTAGCTCATAGCACAGAGAGCCATGGCACAAACAAACATTGTTATAATTGAATGTTAGGCATGACACCTGTGGTTGGGAACAGATGTGTTGGTAAGGTTAAAGGTGTAGCAGGAGAGATAAGGCACACTCTGCTCTGCATACATTTGCTCAACAGGCCCATCAAAACTCCTGGTCCGAGCTGTCTGAAAAGGAACCACGACATCTTGCTCATATGTCATCAATGCAATTAAAAATTGAAGCCTGTTCAGCTGTCAGCATTTGTGCGTAACTGTGCTTGTGCATTTGTGTCTGCCCAGTGCTTGGGGTCACTCTCTTTCAGCAAAGGAGACAGACAGTGTGAGCTCACATGTGCCTGTTGTCGCCACTTTCCTGTCAGTCCACTAGGAACAAATGTTGTGTTGTTTGCATACCAGACCCTTTTGTTGCTACTGCTGTTTCTCTCTTGTTCGCTGTTTTCTCTCCTTGCCTGCAGCAGTGCAGGACAATGATTTTCTGGTAAATAAACATTGGTTGAATATGGGTTTTTTAAAATAAAAATTCCAGTGGAAATTTCTCTGAGAGCCTGGAGAGGTCAGTGTGTTTGTAGGTCAGGTAGGAGAGGACCAAAAACATGCTGACTACATGGATGTCTATAGAAGTAAACTGCACAGTGAGGCAGGAGAGAAAACACCTGGTTGCATAGAGAGAGGGGAGCAGTGAAAGAGGGGGAACATAAAGAATGTATGTGATTAGCAAAAATAGAAAGAATACCTGTCTGTGTTCTTGGTTAGTCGCCGCGGTTCGGCCTGTGGACTCCAAAGGCTGTGATGAAGATGTTGACTACCACTATCAAAAAAACCAGGCCTGTGGCTAAGCTTTCCATAATGTTCAGCCTCTGATGCTTTTGCTCATCATTTAGGTTCCATCGAACTGTAGACAAAACCAGGAAAAAGAATTTAACAACACACAGACACACGCTTGATGAAAGTCTAATCGTACATCAGCAATCCACTTTATTTTGGGACACAAGCCAACTCATTATACACATATTTACTGTCAGCCATTAATCCATACTTAATTCTGGGTGCAGGGAGATGACTGATTCCACATAAATGCAATTATCAAATATTTCATTTCGACAAGAGGAAAAAGAAGTAGCAGAACACAGATGGGTAGGACTGAAAAACAACTCGTCATGATGAATTACAAAACAATCTTATGTAAGGAATTTTGTCATTAATAAATAAAAAGCAGAGATTATTTCTTTTAAAATGTGTACATTTACATATGAGTGCAAACTGATTTGATGAAACTTCGGATAAACTCTGCTATTTGGATTTCTGTTATTGGAGTGTTCTAACAGAGGTCTAACTGGCTGTGTAATTGACCCCAATGTAAGTAAGTAATATCACTATGTACAGAACATACTGTATTTTATGTCTGTGAATGGCAAATTCATGCACTAGCCCATTTCTGTATTTTGTCACATTAATCAAATGTGCAGGCTCAGTTTATACACACAGCAATGGGTTCTGTGAAACCACAAACAATCAGCAGTGGTAAAGGTAATGTCAACAAAACACAAGGGTCATTAAACTCCATGTACAATTTAGTTGGGTAACATAATATAAAACATAATTTTGAGAAAAGTAGAGGGCTTATATGGTATGAAATTAACAGGCTTCTGATTCAAAGCACACAAAAAGAACAATACAGGGAAGAGTGAACTGATCAAGGGAAGCTTGTATTTCTTGTAGAACACTGCTTCATTTTGTTTGCACCTTGTTACATTGAGCCAAATAAAATTATGGGAAAAAAACAACTAATCCATGTTGTGATGACATAACAGATAATAAAAGGCGTCATGTCCATCATCACAGGGGCTTGCCTATGAGCAATGTTAAACTTTGGTGGATCAGGAAAATGTGTATATATGAGGGAGTATACAGTAGCTGTGTCACTACAGGAACACGTTATGTGTACGTGTGCGTATGAGTGTCGTAGTGGGAGATTACCAAAGGTTAAACGGTATAAGGACCCCGTCTGGTTGTATATGTGTGTGGGAGGGTATGTAGGCCACTCAATTCACGCCCCACTGGCTCCAAAGACAGAGCTGGATCCACAGGGAGGGGAGAACGAGGGGGGAAGGGAGAACCGAGAGGGCAGCCGGGTTTAGAACAGTCAAAGAAAACGAAGGAAAAGGGATGAAAAGAGCAGTGAGAATGAGATGTGTTTGATATTCTGGTAGAAACAAGGGGGGCTGGTGGAGTCAGAGGATTTGGTGGATGGAGGGGGTCAGAGGGGGCAGGGCCTTCATGAATGTGTGATGACTCTCACATGCTTGGCCGATTGTCTTTGTGACACGTGATCTTTTAGAATAAAAAAACAAAATCTTATTTTATATTTATGAGTTTATTTATGAGTGATTATGATGATTGATTATGGCTATTGTGATTTTTTTAATGCAGAGCAAATTTACAAACTGGTAAATAATTAACATTTTACATTAACATTGTAGGAATATATGGAAAGTAAGATATAAGGAAAGCAAACCCAACATTTATGGGGGATATGACCTTGATCCAAAATGGATCATTTTTAAATGATTAAAATTAAACATTACTACAGAGGGAGGAGCACAAGAGTGATAGGTCAGTGTATACCAGTAGTGTTGTTGTATTTTAGGCATGGACAGGATTCTGACTAACATTGTATCATTTACTCCTCCCGCTAGAGCTGAGATGAGTCAGTGTGGCCTGCCTAAAGTTCACTGACCCGCTGTTCAGTCCGTCAGAGGAAAATGAACTTCAGTCTAATCTGCACAAATACACCTCATCTTAACTCATCTTCCCATCTTAATGGACCTGTTTTTCCAACCCAAGCTGTGGCTGGTAAATGCTTTTATTTTTTACTTTCTTTCTATTTACTCCAAGATATGCATAGACATTGTGGGCTGACTCCCAGCAGCACTTAAACCTAGTGAACTCTGACCTGGTGTCAGGCTCAGTTGCCATGTTAACAGCTAGAGTCCAACTGGTAATGGGCTGTTTGTCAGGAGTCAGTGGACTTGATGCCGGTGAATCTTGCTGAGGGACAGGGTGGAGGGGAGGAAACATAAAGGGTACGTGAAGGTTTTGAAGGTTGCCAGATGATAAACAGCAAAAGGGTGGTGCTGTTACTGTGTTTATTTTCTCACCTATGAAGATGAGTAGGACCCCGACTGTGACCTGCAGACAGAGGGAGATGCTGATCAGGGTGATGAGGGGGGTGTAAAAGGAGAGGTTTGGCCCCTGCTCCAGCACAGCCTTTAGCTGAGAAGCGTTGGCCATCAGTAGAGCCACATCCAGCATGCTCTCAGCTGCACTCTTCTTATTGGAATAGTGGTTCATGTTCAGAGGGGCTGGGCTGCTCAACCAAGCATCTGGATTGGAGGCCTGCGGAGAGAAGAAAGTAATAATGTTACTGTTAGATGAATGCTTGGAAATAAACAGAAAGGCATGCTCTGTGCTACTGTGTTTTGTTCTCCCAACAGAGCGACAAGGCAGCTTGCCAATGACACTAGCAGTAATTTTGTGCCTTCTCTGTCTCTGGTTATCATTCTGACCTAATTAGCGCAACACACAGCCATTACAGAAGAGTGACCTTTGAAAACAGAGCCATTAGTACAGCAAAGAGATACTGACACAAAAAAGTCAACATGTGCAGTGTTCAAGGCTTTCCACTAGCTGTGGTTTCAAATGATCACATTTAGTCTGCACATCTCTGTCAAAGCTCAGTGAGCTCCAAGCATATTATACCACATGTGTTTCTCGGAGCCCTCTCTTCCACTATTTGTTGACTTTTCAAATCAAAGCAGTGTGTCTGACTATCTGTCTTCTCTGTATGTTGTAAACATACTAATATATAGTGATACTGTGACCCTTAGGTCAAATCCTGATCATAAATCCCTGTCTGTTGAAGCAGGATAGCAGAGTTTTCTGGATAACGGCACTCAGTAAAAGCCAGAACAGCTCTTTTATACCCAGTATCAATATTTATTTGTATGTATATCGAGCACATAACAAAATGCACCTAAACAAACACTATTTCATATATTAAACTACACATTCTACATAGCAGGGAAAGGAGGAGAGTCATTTAGGCTGTATCCCTTCTTTGAATGATCAACAGGTGATACCCAAAAGCATTAATGAAGAAAAAAGAAATCTCAGTTTTACATCAAATTCTATAACTCATTGATTCTTGCGTGAGTGATGATTATGTAACAAAAGCTTAGCAAGGTGTTGTGTGTGTTTCCACTCCATACCAGTGGACTCTGCATGGTAAAGAGAATAACATGTACTGACTCAGCAGGTGCTGGATAAACAGTCCACTTGTTGATAATAAGAAATCACTCTCTTTTAAAATGAGGAAAATACACCTTCCTTCGGAGCACTTCTGCTGAATGAACACTTGGGCTGACTGTTCAGCAACACCTGAGAACCCTCACTGAAGATTCGGTCGCATCAAGGCCAAAGCCTGCAGACTCACACACTCTCTGCGAACATGAAATAACCAGCAGTGTTCACAGTCCCATCCTCGAAACTGAAGCCTTCCTCTTTTTCTCACAACACAACCCTGCAGCTGCGGAGAGCACAGTTTGTCAGGGATTAACCAAACCACAGAGCTGGTACGAACTGTCTTCCCTCTGCTCCAGGAATAGAGACAAAAAGAGAGAAAAGCAGAGCTGCACCCTCTAATTTGTTACAGGGTAGGCTACAGCTGAATTACAATGTCTTGAGGAGATTCACAACAATCAGCTGCATGGTTAAGTTGATGTATGTGGGGTAAGTATAAACTGCACAGAAGGTGTTGTTATGTGGGTTGGAGAAGAGCTAGTATACTGCTTGCAGTAATTATTTTGATGAGTTTCTTCTTTCTACATGGATTACACATGTCACTGGTCAAGTTATTTATCTGGCAGCAAACCTCAATATCATTTTAGATTTTTACAATTTGGCATAGCTTCATGTGAACACTGCAGAGACATCTCGACCGCATCCAGAAAACCTTCCAAATAACATCTCCATGGGCTAAATCTTTTTCACTCTGAACCGTAGGCCTGATGCCCCGTGGAAAGACTCATAGCAAGAAATTAAACAGCTCTTCAAAACACGTTTCCCTAGATTCCAAGGGAAACGCAATGCGATGTGTTGTTGTGCCCTTGTGACTGTGATTTGTGCCACAAAATGGGGACACTGTCATGACGTGTCAGGGTCAGCCATTCTGCTCTCAAACACTGACAGAGGCTTTTCAAAGACAGCGCTTTATCCCAGAGTCAACAGACCACAGTGAGATAATGCTTGTTGTGAGCTCACAGGTTGGAAACATGCAGTCACTATGTCTAGAAAAACAGCAATTTTGGTGAAAATTCACCAGCAAATATAAAGAACTCTTTTCAACGATTACACTATGGTTCATTGTATTGTGTATATACTAAGCCAAGACTAAAGGCCACCTACTCAGTCAGTTCAAGCTTTTTGTCAGGATTAATCCTGCTGTCTACTCGTATCATATGGCTGAGAACATAGGATAACAACTAATCACAGCTGAGGAGACAATGTAGAACAAAAAGATGTGTGAATATAGGCTATGGAATGTCACACTGTGCTTTCATGAGGGAGGGGGGGGGGCAATGCTACAAAAGCCATATTACAGGATCTGATCCAGGCTTCAAATTGAAAAAAATGCTAAAGAGAACCCACATTTGCATTTGCACTGACTTTTGTTTTCCCATTTCAGAAGAGACTTGTCAGTCTCCCAGCCATTACAGATGTATTGTTACTTGGCACAATCTAAAACGGAAGGTTCTCATTAAGTCAATCGCTCTGTATTGGTCCAATGCTTATTTTTGTGATGAATTATTCACACTGCATTCCTTGTCTGAAATAGACCCTCGGGACACACCGCAGAGAGAGAGAAAGGGAGGAGGATGTGGGGGGGAGGGAAGACAGAGTAAGACAGAAAAGTTGTTTGAATCTGTATTAACTCTCAGTTATGCGTCACTGTGGAACAGCAAATAGCTTAACAGAATGGTATTTAACACATGCAGATTTCTGCAGAATCAGGTGTCCCTAATATTACAGTATGTCGGTGTAAGAGAAAGTGGTGCAAAGGAAATCACATGGTCATGTACTTTTTTTATAGAGGACCTCTTAAAATTATTAATGTTGACCAAAGTGCTACAATGAGAAGTTCAAATACATTCATAAGTCTTCAATGACTTGATGAATAGATAAATAAAAACGTACCACCCAAACAACCTGAACTGCCTCTCCCATAATTAGGAAATATGAAACATTTTCCAAATGTAAAACTATGTTTGAATATAATGTTTTTTAATATATACAGAAAATTAGAAAGCACAGCACATATCAAATAACACAGATAGACAAGGGACAATTATAGTCACTTAAAACAGAAACAATAAAACAGATATTCTAGACAGTAAATTGAAGAGGTAAATATCATAGTGGGTCGCTAACTCCTCCAGAGTGATGATCCCTCTTAGATTTATCTGAACAGTGGAATGAAAAGAGGAGAGAGGAGTAATTGGGCTGAAATACTAACAGGCATGGAGGTCATTTTGGGAGAGATCAAGTAAAGCGAGATTTAATGCAATGTTTTAAAAAAACAAATAAAATACTGCATCTTTACATTGACACCTAGCCATTACCCTTTTACTCACGACTGAACAAATGTGTCTCATCATAAATAACTATCTTTATGTCCGCCTCATAGCTAGATGCAGTGCAATAGGGCACCTGCTTTGAAATGGGAAAGGCTGCAATTTCTAAATTCCTGAGACTGAACCTAAACCTTGAACCTAATTGAAGCATAGAATAGTTTTTCATTGTGTATTCAAAGGCCAACTAGTGCTGGCTTACTTCCAAGCAAAGGAAATTAACTTGCATACCATATCCTAAACATTTCCCCTTTTCCCACACCGTCACACTAACTGATTATAGCTAAATATCTGCATGTCAGTAACTGTGACAGTATGTAATGATTATTGCTTTTACCACTATGTTTTGTATCAGACATGTAGAAAGCTCTTTGCAGCAACAACGTAGTACCACTTAAGACATGGTAAGACCCTGCATTTATTATTTAGTTAACTGACCTTCCTGCTACTCAGCAACATGATGAAAAATGAAAATGAATTTGAATCGGTACCTGCATGTGTGTGTTTTTCCCTTCCTTTTGTTTTTTTCCCCCCTTAGACATCAGCACTTCTTTGCTTTACATCCATCATGTCCTGTCAGCGGCCTCCCTCTCTCACTCACCTCACACTCTGGCCCCCCTCCAGATGAGGATCGACCGATCTATAAATCTAATTCCCATGATTCTCTGTAGGGCTTTTAGTTTTCACAGCCTTACAAAGTGCAAAGCAAACACGGCTGTTTCAGAGTGTGCTCCATCCCGCTATGGCACTCAGAGAATTAAACATGTTCTCATTCTGGAGAAAGGTGCAATGTAAAACCCACTGATGATCGAAACAGACAAAAGGACATTCTCTGGAATGTGCAAGTGCTGTACAGAAATCTGATACAGAATCTGATCGGTCTTAGATTTCAGTGTAACACAAGCACAGATATTAAAAGCATGTGGAAAGTCTGAATATAAGATCTTCATTTCACAAAACAACCATAGATTGATTCCATTCTTATTGACTCACACAGTTGGGAGACACATTGTAAATGAGACCAATTGCTAATTTTATTGAGCGTGAGGGTATTACATTCTGCTTCTGTTGGCTGAGCTCTGACAGTCACAGGGAAGTATCTCTGGCTGCCTGGGTTTCTCGCTCTCTCTTCCTCCTCCCTTCTCTCACACACATTTGTAAATCTATCTGAAATTAAATGGCGCTATTAAGACATTGACTATAGAGATGACACAGTAAAGCTAATTTCCTTGCCCTGTAAAACTGGATGCAGCTCTGAACTACATATACTGTAATTACTTGTCCAATGGGAACTTCAATTGCCACATAAAATACACTAAACACACGTTGTCCTTCAACAATCTAGTTGTGGCATTAAGTAGGATGACATTATATAAAATTAAAACTGTACACTTTTTTTAATTAAATTTTTTATATAAAATTAAACTTGTGCATTTTGGCCAGTGAAGTGGAAACAAAGGAGTGCATTCGTTATTTATAAGGTCACCCAGGTGCCAACATTGCTTCCCTCCTCATCTGACCCAGCATGCCTGAAACAGAAGTGTAGATCTCTTGTTTAAATGTTATCTTTTACTGACTTGTTTCTGTGTGGACATCTATAATCCTATTTGGCATCATTTCTGTTCTACAAAGTTTGTGTTTATATATTTCCCCCCTCACTGGTTACATGTAATAAGACAAGAGGCCCAAAGTGGCATGAAAATGCCATAACCACAGGGGGTGGATCCGTTAACACCATCACCTTACATAGAAACACAACAACACCAAAGACACAAATCAGACTACGGATAAGATTTTGTCCCAGGATCGCCCATCTGATAGGATTTTGGCTTTTAGATGTTTTACAGAAGGTGTATGAAATCCATGACCAAAATAGTCATACATCCTGTCACTGTGTTACTTTAGTGAAAATAAAGTATTCCCCTTTTTGCTGGGGACCCCTGTAACTCCCTCAAGGACCCCTGGGGGTCCCAGACCCTCCTTTGAGAACCACAGATAAACAGAAATGTAACAATATATGCTTTACAACTATAAAAAGTATTTTGGATTACTGCTGCATTTAATTCCATTCATTTCCCCTAATAGACTATTCAATGCATCCATCTCTAAGCACTTTGTCACTTGTTGGATTTCCCTTTGGCTGGGTTGGGATTTGCATACAGTTGTTTGCAAGAAAGCAAGAATGAAAATAAACCTTGGTGGTCAGATAAATAATGCAACCAGGCTTCTCTCATTTCTAGCAGTTGCAAGTTGTGCAACCCACAACTTATCATACCAATCTATTCTACTTCAAAAATCGGTCTTATATACAGCATAATTACGGAAAAGCGCAGGATGAACCTGTCTTGTAAAAATGGTTTCAAATATCTTACCTCAGCCCCACTTCCCCTGTTGGTGATGCTGATGTTCATCACTTTTCCATGCGTATGCTACTGCACCGCAGCTGCAGACTGCAGCTCTGAGAAATTGAGCTGCAAAGTGTCCTGTTATAGGGGATGAGATGACGGGACTTGCAACCACATAGCCTAGGCCTACTTGACAGAATACCAGATGCACATGCAGTTATTATATGATGTGCCAATAACAGTAACATGTATTTATTTATTTAGAAAATTGTACTGCAAGCTGTTGAGCTCTGAGTGAGAGGCAGAGGGGCACGTGATTGGATGAGTTGGTGAAGGGCGTGAAAGAAATTTTCACAGACGATAACAAGCTTTTGCAAGAAATAATCATTTAACCGCTTTGTAGTTTACTTGCATTGATTCTAGACAGTGTTTTCACGTGAGATGTTGAACAGTACAGCAGCATGAGTGGGCTCTCTGTGGTTCCCCAGCGTGCTGTGTTTTATTGGACGGTCCCTCCAGTCGTTACTAGGGGCGTGGGACCAAGCGAGCTGAATGGGAAACACATTTGTGCTCCTCTCCGTTTTATTAACCTGTGGAGAGGCGATGACAAGCGAAAACAGTTCTCGGCGTAAATTAATTGCCGAGGGGACGACAGGCAAAGTAAAATTCCCTGTGTCTTAAAGCGGCCCGACTGGTCTTTAACTACACGCCGTGCATACAGCAACCACGGGAGAGACTCGGCATCGTTCACTGCAGCCGAAGAGATGGATGCAAGGACTTGAAAGAGGAGACAAATACAACGTATTCTTTATTTTTCACTCGTTAATATGGAGTCAGTGTTCAGTTAGCAAAGGCAGAGTTGAACCTGAATTTGTTTGCGGTCGTTCGGGTGGCTTTTATACGTGGAAATGGGGATAATGGGCAGATAGGGCGTTTTAAAGTCCACCTTTTGCCGTGGACAATCGGCTAACGTTAGCGAAGGCTTTCCGATACTGGACCTGGCGGGTCTGTCTGTGTCGTGTACAGCTAGCCTGTCTGTAGCCGAGGTTATTTTTCTCGTTTTTCCTCGCTTTCTGAACTAAGGTAAGTTGTGTCCCACCTTGGTTAAATGCTGTAATAAAATGTTTGAAGACTAGCTAACCTATTGTCATCTGAACAGTGACGTTAAGGTAACCCCATCTCACACGCTAGCCAAAGTTAAAATTAACTTGTGTCGCCAAAGCCAGCTTGCTAACGTTAGTTTTTCGTTCACCTGGAAGCTGATGGCTTCTGCCAACAATACGTTTTTAACTCGTGGGCTTGTCTTTTCATCCACCTGCTTTTAGTGAAAACCACTAACTCAACCTCCGTAATGGCTGACACTCATAAAACCAGTGTATATCCTTAAGCATTGCTTTACACACCAGGAATTCTTGGATTTTGTTTCACAAACAAACATTTCTTTTGCAGCTCTTGAAATCGGTTGAAATCTCATCTATGCCATCTATCCCAGTGTCGCTAGAGGCCTCTGCTGGCAAACTGCGTCACCGAGTGGGCGCTGCAGGTATTCATCTCTACATCTGCAGGTTGAAAGTCTAGCCATGGCACGAATGACCTGGAAACCCAAGTGACTGAACTTTTAGATCACCATGGAGCCGGAGGCCAATTCAAGCTCCGAGGCCCACCAAGAACTGAAATATCCATCTTTACCCAACTCTAAGTGTGAACTGGGCCTAAATATGTATGAGGCCATAGGTGATGGAAATGTCAATGTTGTTGACTCAGTAGTGAGGGGTGGGAGTGACCCCAGTACGTATCCTTCATCCAGTTATCAGAAGATTGTGCATCAGCGATTCATCAGGAGAAGTCTGTGGTTCTCTGACACAGATGAACAGGCGTTTGAAGCACCTGAGTGCGATAACAGGAGTAAGATCCTAAATATAAACCTGCGAACTATAGTGGACAGGACGCGGGGGACCAGTTGCGGGATACAGGAAGGTTCCAGCACAGAAAGTCAAGGTGGGCAAAAAGACGCCAGTGCCGATGAGGAGAAGGAGAAAGGTGGAGATGCGTTGAATCTTGCATACAGTGATGCTGGTAAAACCGCTATCAAGGCAGCCAGTGAGGAGAACGAGGAGGAGGCAGAGATGAAAGCAGTCTCCACATCTCCAGGAGGAAGATTCCTCAAATTTGACATAGAGCTGGGCAGAGGGTCCTTCAAGACGGTCTACAAAGGCCTGGACACTGAGACCTGGGTGGAAGTTGCCTGGTGTGAGCTTCAGGTAAAATGCTAAAGCTGTCCATCAGATTTACCGTTGCTCTCTGTGAAATCCAAGCATAGTGTCACTTAAGAATAGACGATGCACACGCAACAGCTACCTATACCACCCAACACTTTTAAAAAACAAACCTTGTACTTGCAGATGAGTGTGAGAGACACTTTCAACCAAAAAATGTCATTTAGTTATAGCTATCTTCACACGTTCTCTACAACAAATACGTAAGTTGTTTTTTGGTTCTTTTTAGTCAGTGATTAATATTAGCAGAGGAATGCCTGACTCACAGGAAGCAGCCTCTCTTTACTCCCCTCTCTGTCAGTGAAGGTTCACGCATGATAGTATAGTGTCAATCAGCCAGAGTCTCATGAGGGAGTCCATTTAGGACTAATTGTAAATAAGTTACCACAACATTTTTAATAATTTATACAGACCAATCGACAAGCATTATCTGCTGATGTGGCGATGCATACCACCACTGAAGTATAGTGATCAGCAGTTTTGCAAATGCCCAAGGAGAGTCTACCTTGTCTTGCATTACACAGACACACAGGAAAATCACCAGCTTAGACTCTGCAAAGGTATTAACTAATTATTTACGTCCTTTGGAGACTGCAGCAGGGATTATCTCTCTCTCCCTCTCTCTCCCAGGAGGCTTAGGGGGAACTACAGGAAGCATGACTGGCCCCCTCAAAGGAAGAAAACCTGTACTGTGTTTTGTTTCTGTCTTTTGCAATTCAGATTAAAAATGTTAAGGATTTGTTTTCAACAGTTTACGCTCAGCCATCCATAATTTTTTCTCTCATCATTTGCCCTGCTGTAAGGTAATGACACTGAGCACATTTATTAGATCGGACAGCGCAGAAGACGCTTGTGCGTGCTCTGTCCCAGCAGTGTGTGCATGTTATGAACTGTGCTACTGCCTACCTCCCTCCCTCTGTGCAACAGGAGGTAGGCAGACAGGAAGCAGCTAAAGTCAGCTGTAGCCTGCTGGGAACCGTGTGGCGGTCCCGTGGCTTCAGTGAATACTAATGCCCAGGGTACTCAAAACGTGCTGCGTCAGTAACCTGAGAGACTAAAGAATGCTGAGTGTTCGACGCATTGAAAGAACTAAACCGGTTTTGTATGACTGTAGCATCACAATGCAGTGACGCATCTCATCATTGGACTGAAGATAACATGCCATTGGCTAGGAATGAGTAAAGCTATTGCGGCGCTGGGTGTTGTGAGGTCTGCATTTGGACGAGGATGTCATACAGACCCTCAGTTTGACAAGAGTGAGCTGCAATTGGACTTGGTGGATGATGGGATATGGAACCAATTTAATGTATTTTATTTTCCCCTATTGACACATATTAAAACCCCCTCTAGTGGGCAGTCAATAATGAATGTTAATCACAATACAAATGGTCCTCTCTCACAGTCATGGTCAGATCTATCCTAGTTGCTCTTGCATATATTGTAGCTTTGAGCTGATGGTTGTATGTAAAAACACTAACAATGGGATAAACAAAATACTATGCTGACCTGAAGGATGTTTTTTTTTTTTTTTAAATCAGAGCTCTCCTTGGGTCATTAGTGAGCCCAGCGACTTTGTGTCAGTGCGGTCTCACGTGGTGCCTCCTTCAGTTGATCAGAACTGCTTGTGATGTCAAGTTGATTAATCCTTTATAAAATCGACCGTCCAGTGAGTTGAACCATCAAAGTACTTTAAGACAAGAAGTTCAATATTAAACTGTTACAGTGGTGCTGAATTAGATTAGACAAATAAAGTGTGGCAGACCAGTAAATGCAAAACTTCAACTAACCAGTGCGTTTGTGACTACGTTTGGCATGTGTTTTCATACTAGAGACATTAGCTGACTTTATCAGCATGCTTAATGTGGTCGTTTTGTCATGTGAGGAATCACTATAAAGACTGTTGTAAATACCGTTATCATTTAGCCTTAAGAGTGCACCGAAAATATTGAAGTTGTTTGCCTATGTTATGCATGTTCACTCATGTGCTCAGAGAATTGCGGCGAAAGACGGAGTAGCTTTCTGTGGAAGAGGGAGAGAAAGTGATATGACTGTGATTTTCCACTGTTTTTCCTCTTTCCAGTGGTCACATGGATTTCTTGCCTAGATTGCCTAATTTTAATCTGGCCCTGTGTTTAGTTTTCTCTCTGTATCCTCCCATGCCCATCTCCCCCACATTGCTGTTCCTGTGCCAGGCTGCTGGCATAACACAGATGGCCTTGGCTCAGGCAGAGATGTTAATCTGTAAGAAAGGTGCCTGTTGTGAGTTTTTCATTGTCAAGGAGAAACACTCGCTCTATCATTGCTCACTGGAAATTATTTGTGGAAACTTCTGCCAATTGTGGCCCTGTGTTTAGATTTTTATCTCTGTGTTGAACGCTGTGCGCAGACTCGCAGACAGTTAACTTCTGACTTTGTGCAGAGTTCTGTGTTGTATTTGGCAGTGAGCTTGTTCTGTAGATTAAGATGTTTCCCAGCTTGTGAATGCAGAGCTGGCAATGATACCATTGCAGTGAAATGATGCTGCCTATCTCTGAGTAAGTGCAGGAGAATTGGGCATTCTTGAACCAAACAAATCCCCACAAATGACACCATGACTCACAAGGTCAAAATCTTCGTTCCAGACACTGGATTGAGCTATGTAATAGGATGGTAATCTGTTTCTGAGCATAGTTGATGTCTGTCTCTTTGATTTAGCATGTATAGCGCTAACGACAGCAACTTCTCGGCTCCTCAGATGGCAAAAGGAAAAGTTGGATATGCCCAAGTGGGTCACTTGTTGCAGCCCATTTGGCATTAAGATGCCCAGGGAAGCAAGGGGAGCCAGACCCAGTGCCTGTAGTTAACAGTGCTTTATCAGTGGCCTCATCTTCATGCATGCCTGAGCTCCCGTGCCACTCGGCCAACTGAAGACCCTGAGGGAGGGAGCACGAGCCTGTTTGAGCCACAGTAATGTGGCCTGTGGTATAGCTCCAACAGGCTTGTTGGAAAGAGGCTTGTTAATGGAATCTAGATCTAATACATAGACAGTTGTTGGCTCGAATTATTAAAAACCTTTTGCTCTGTCAGACGAATTAATGATTCTGTCAGAATGATTAACGATTAAAAGCTTACTTGTAAGTGTCATGTTGTCAGTTTTGCTTCTTGGTAAGCGATGACACTAATTTGAATGACAAGCTCGACAACACAATCTCAAAATTTCTAAGAAGTGTGTGTATCGTATAGAAGTACAAGTGGGAATTTTTCTGCCTTCTCTTCCTAACCCTCTCCTTCCTATTTGGCTGTATATAGTAAAACAATGCAATCAAAGGCATATAGCTCAGAGTTGTAAAACCTGGTATGTTGGTGTAGTCTGACACCATGGCTTTAGTCCTACATTGTCTAAAGGGGAAGGATGCCAGGAAATGTTCCAAGCTTCATCTGAAACCACTTTATGCTTTGTGCGACCAGTTTCTGTATATCTTCATATTTGGCAATGGCCATTAGGAACACATGCATGCACACACACCACTTTTAGTTAATGTGGTTTGAGAATTAGTGTGGTTAAATGGGTAAAGGTCTTCCCTTCATTTGCTACAGCCGAAGAGCCCACAAACAAGGTTTTGCTTATTGAGACAGTTAAAAGTATTTGTAAAAAATAACAGCATTCAGAAGGCTTATTTAAGTGTTATGTTTGGCCGAAAGAGCTTCATTATACTGAAGTGGATAAAATTATAGAAACACCTTACACCATATTGCAGTAGCCTAGTATCCATTTGTAGACGCTCATAATGCTTGTCAGATGTGGTGTTTTGTCACTTTTTAAGGCCACAGTTTTGTAGTATTAAAAAAATTCCAGTTGTATTTCAGTCAGTTTTGGCAAGTATCTGGCATGTGTTTTCAAATTGAGATTGCTACATTACATTACAGTGTACATTACAGAGTACTGCGGTTGTTTTAGTGATTGATTAATCTTCCGATTATTTTCTTGAATAATTGTTTTGCCACATATGCACCAGCAATCTGACCCCTTGTATCCCTGTGTGCCCCCCCTCTTGTTTTGACTTAAAAATAACAACAGTGATGGACAGACTCTTATTAAAGCTGACACACATTGCTTACAGTTATATCAATATCATGTACCAAGTCAGAATATGAATTTGGGCTTTCTGCGCCTGCACATGAGACTAACTGTTAAATTGTCTTCTTTATTGATGTCACCAGGCGTCCGTGAGAAACCTCCAGAGACGCACCTTTTAACACACTTTGAACTGATGAAGATTTAAAGTAAATGGCATTTGACCTGCCTCGACCCTCCCCCAACAATAGAAAGTGTCATTAGAACTAGTAATCCCTTTTGGAATTTACGATGGTTATTTGTATAAACTACTCTGGAGCAACTCTGTTTCCTGTTAAGGGCTCTATGATATGAAGACAAAGGTTACTTTTAATACACAGTTTAGTTGACCTCTGTGTCACTAACCTATTTACGTAATGAGTGGAAAAACAAATGACCACACAGTAGTACTCTCATCTGACCATAAACTGTTAACATTTATTTTGACAGCTTGTTTTTTAAAATGTAAAGCCCCTCATGTTCACTGTTGGATAGATTAATCTAGTTTTGCACTGCGTTTTTTTTTTTTTCTGTTTTACCTTTAGTAATCACTATTGAAATGTTTGTATGGTTGTGATATATGTACATTTTGTACATGTTGTGCTTCCATCTAGGAATTTTCAGTGATTGCAGATTATTTTTTTCCTTGGCTTATAATGAGGCAAATATGGTACCTAAGGTGTGACCTACTGAGCCTTAATTTAGATTTTATGCAAAATAATGCCCAAGGCACAATATATAGCAAGCACATGCTGTTGGTATGTCACATGAATTGTATACTTAAAATACTTTATTTAAGATTAAGATATGTACTGCATCAGAGTTGCTGATTTAAATCTGTGGTAACTTTAGAGGCTATAATTTGTAGGTTGACTTATATTAAAAGGTGTTC